GTATTCATTGAAGTGATGATCATATCGTGATGATCATATCGTTCTAGCCACTTGACCGAATTTAAGTAAATAGTTAAAAATAAGCAAGAAAGGGCTAAGTTCAACATAAACGGATTTAAGTCAGCTAGAAAGTCGGAAAAATGACATCGGATGTATTTGAGAGAAGGTCCGGACTTGTTTGCTTTAGCTTGTGACATTACTCAAGTATATTTCTCGAATATTTCCATGCAGTTTTATAAGGAGAACACACACTGACGGACATATTGGACATAAAGTCTGCTAAAATAACAAAAATAATTATTTGTTGTGTATGGTAGCTGGGGTTATTCGTTGATCCATTTTACCCATTTTCTGCATTAAACTATAATATTATACGTTCACTTAAGTTTCTAAGATATACTACAAATTGACCGATATACGAAATATAGGGAACCGGAAGCTTAGAATTCTTATATTGGGTATATGGGGGCTAGAGACACCGATCCGATTTTATCCATTTTAGGCATAAGGGCACATTGTTATTAGTTAGATATGATGTTTTCATTTCTTTAAGATATCTCACATATAGGCTGGAATATACGGTATAAAGTCAACCGGAAGTTCGACAATCTTTATATTAGGTATATTGGCGCTCGGGAAAGTATTGATCCGATTTGACACATAGGTTTAGTAAAATCAGGAAAAGATACTCTCTGAATTTCAATAACATATGGGCCACATCTTTGATATAAGAGGCTAGATTAGTTAATGGTCCGATTTTAACAACTTTTAGACTTGAGATGGCATACTTTTAAGACACAAAATTTTAACCCGATCAGGATTATAATTGCTGCTTGATTTGTATACTGTCATCATATTGAATTTCAGATATTGTTATATGGGAAGTAGGCGTGATTGTAATAACTAATTTTAAATGCAATTCTCATTTGAGAGTCGTCACTTAATCGTACTATGGAAATCGCCTTATCAACGGCTACGTAAGTTTAACTTATGTTGAGCTGTACATTCCCATATACATATTATATTGCAAGCATATATTTTTACTACGTCATGTTAATTTCAGCGTTACGGGTAGTCAAAATTAAAAATTTTATTTTGAAATTTCTTGAAGTACAATATATGAGAAATATTCTCCGAAAATTTAAGTAAATCCGAGAAATACCATTCCAGTTATTCGATAATTAGCGAAGGGTTCTCGTTCGCTCTGAAACGTTTGTGTAAAACATCAAAACCTATGTTTTTTGAACTGGTGACCACTGCAGCTCGAAAACCGCTCGGTAAATTTCAATGAAATTTATGCAGCTTTTTGAAAACATAAAAAGCTAGTGCTTGAACGAAGGATTTTTATCCTATTGCAAAATTTTGCTACAGAATATAATAGTTTTGTTCACATAACGGTTTTTTGTATCGCCTAAATATAATTGAGTTAGATATATATATAGGTAAATGATGAGGATGGCGAAACGAGGTGTAACTTTAGTAAAAATTACGATATCTTGATGAAACTACACATATTCTCTGGTACTATAAGAAGTTCGTTATTGTAGAGGAGCTTAATCGGACCACTGCCACGCCCACAAAACGCCAATAATCGAAAGCCTATAAATATTATAAAATAAAATTTGCACAACTTAGCTACAAATTATGATATACAATTGTAAAGCATTACAAGCATCCGGTTGACTTTACTCCTATATATTGGTGGTGGTATGTGGGGTACGCTAATGAAACTCAGAGAGCATCTTTTTCTGGTAGTAATTGTGTTAATGCCAAAAATAGATCATGTCGGATCAATACTACTTCTATCTCCCATATACCTCATGCAAGGTTTTCAAACTTTAAGTTGGTTTGTACCTTATATATCGGTCAATACAGTGTGTGTGAGGAATTTATTTATAAAATTGCTTGAAAATATGTTTTGGAGTATAACTCAGCAATGACAAAGGTTGTTGCAACAATTCCATACCTTTCTTTGTCACCAATATACCCTGTGTAGTGATTTCTGACTTTCCAGCTGATTTTAAACCGTTTAGGTTGGAAAAAAAGGGATGTCATTTAAATGAAACTAAGTGAACAATTTTTCTTAAATATAAATTTTTTCACACCTAAGGTATTTCTCCTGCTTAATTATAATTGTAATTTTTTCATGCCTGTGACTACACCTCACCTCCAATATTTTGAATTATTATAAAGCCGCTTTTGAGTATACTTAAGGTTTTCAAATCGAACTAACTTAAATAGTTTTTCAAATCGAAAAGTGTTGTTTAGTTTATTGGTTATTACAACTAGATATAAACAGCTAATATTCAGACATAAGTGTATTAATATATTTACATGCACTTATGTACAAGTACAATATATTGTATAACAATTATTATGATTTGGTTTCATTTGAGTTGATTGCTTTAAATAAAGATAAATGTTTAATTAATATAATTTCGGTGTCGAAACTTTGTTACTTACATTTCACAGAATGCTTATGTGAATTATTTTACTTTGTTAATAATCCTTAGTTGATGAGATACAATTGCATGCATAGGTACAAGCAGCATGTGTATATAATATGCACACGTGTAGTGGTTCCTCGCGTATTAATCGTAGTGTACATTGCTGTTGAAGCCAAAAATAATTTTTTTCGTTTTGCTTTTCGCTCGTCAGTTGCCGCTAATTTTTAAATTTGCATACTTTTGCCAATTGCCGGCCTATTGGATTATATTGACTGATACAAAAATATACTTATGCGTTTGTACCATACAACATTCGTATGCACACATTAACACATGGATTTGGCGTATTCATTTATATATGTATGTATGTGAGCTCATAGAAACATTCATACGTAATATATGGATATAGGAAGTTTAGACACTTTTTAGCCTATTTTTCTTTCTGGATGTGCTTTTGTTGACCGTCAAAACTCAAAAGTGTGCTTAGTAAATTTGTTTTTTAATATATGTAAAAGTTTGAAGATTTGAATATTTTTCTGTTCTAAGTTTTTTCGCACTAATGGCCTTTTATTTTTACCTTATGTTCGGAATATAGCTGGATAGTAGTTTTTTAAACTTTATATTTTCAAATAAAATTTTTATTAAAATTCGAACGAACGAAAAGGGGAACAGAATAAATATGTGTACTGAAAACGTCAGTGATACAATAGCTAGACTAAACGCAAAATTTTTTTCTAACGTATTAGTACATTTGATTGTATGTAAAAACGGCATTCATATGTATCCACCGAGCATCTCCCAATGCTATATCGGTATACATATAGGCAAACATAAAAAATTTTGTTGATTTGAATCGATTAGAGTTTAATCGTAACTTAAATTGTAAAAATGTTTGATTAGTTTTCGTTACAAAAGTCTATAAATTTATTTATCACAAATAACATAAGTCTATGCCACTAAGGGCGACGCATTATAGCACTTTTACCCATGTGTTCGTTTCAAGGCAGTTATGGAATATTCTGTACATGAAAGATGTCTATTCCGGGGATAATGGCTGTGAAATTTCCAAATATCGAATATTACAGATTTATATAATTTTCTTGCTCTGGCAACATGTTGCATGTAATAAATTTTTTTTTACATATCGATAGTTCGTAACACCATAAATATACGCTCTCAAAATATGAATGAAAGGACTGAGATATATGAAAAGATATCGAGACCAAAAAGAAAGAGTTATATTCAGACCAACTTATAAGTCAGCAAAAAAACAAGCCAAAAACAAGAAAAACGTTAACTTCGATTGCTAGAGTGGTTCAATCTGAAAAATTTATTCGGATATTATTGAGTTGCTTTAGCCATAAAAGTTTTCCATACAAAGACTTGAGTTTGATCGGGTAGTTTGTATGACAGCCATATGCTGTAGTTGTCTGATCTGAACTGATTTCTTCGGAAACTGTACTAACTTACACTAAACAAACAAAATACAAGAAAAACCTTAACTTCGGTTGCATGGAAGCTGGAATACTCTCCACACATAAAAAAAATTTCATACGAGAACTTGATTGTGATCGTTCAGTTTGTATGGCAGATACATCTGAAAAATTTCTTCGGATATTGTACCGTTGCCTTGGAAAATAATTCATGCCGAATTTCGTGAAGATACCTTGTAAAAAAAAAATTATTCCTCAAGAACTTAATTTTGTTCGTTCAGTTTGTATGAAATAGTGGTGCGATATCGGCGTTTTCGTCAAATGAGCAGCTTCATTGTGGGCAAAGGACGTAAGAAAAATGTCAAATCGATATGTCAAAAACGGAGGGAATAGTTCGCGTGTATACAGACGAACAGGCATGGCTAAATGAACTCAGCTCGTCACGCTGATCATTTATATATGTACGTACACATGTATATACTTTGTAGGGTCTCCCACGTTTTTTTTTGCGTGTTACGCTGTTTTAAGTATAATTAACAGAATATTAGGATTTCATTCATACTTTCTGTGTTAAAACTTACACTTAGACTCGGTGTCTAATAACATATCCAAATTACAAAATTATGTACAATATATATGTTATAAATATTATGTACGTCACACCAGAGAATATAATATAACTAGAACTCTCGTGTTAAATTAAAAGATTTAAGTTGCTGCAGTAAGCCCCAGGGAATATGGATATCCTAAATCTAGGTGAAGATCTTTGGCAAATAATGTTCTTTATAAAAATAAGTACGCTAATGGTAACATTGAAAACAATTAAGTGATACAACCATATTACTGTTTGCACTGCTTTTAATGTGATTTAATGAAAGTAAAAAATATATTTGTACATTTGTCCTAAAAGACAGCGACGGAGCGACTTTTTGACTCAAGAAATCTGAAGAAAACTACTTCCAATCGCGTTATCTCGTCTATTTAGCTAAATTGGACAGCACATGTGTATTTTACGATTGAAGACTTTTACATATTTTTAAGTGCTTGCAAATATAAAATTTTCCAAAAAAATATAGCAAAAAGTTACTATATTTACATATGTAGTTATATCTGTACTTACGGTCATTCGTTGTTGAACTGTGATCATGTTTTGAACTTCGATGAAATTTTAAAAAGCTGTTATAATGATTTGGAACATTTCTTTCAGCACTACTGTTGCCAGTCTCCTCATCTTCAGGAGTTGCTGTTACGCTACTACTAGTTCCGTGCCATAGATTCGATAAAAACTGTGATCCAGCGTGTCGAAGGCTTCCCATGCTATTTCCAATTCCGTGGTTTGCTTGACGGGCCCCAAAATTGTGACTTGCTCCACTGAAATTTTCAGGAGATGTTGGCGACGTTGGTGCAGATGAGGAACCACAACTCGACAAAGCTGGTGCTAATGTGGCATTTTTTAAATCACGGATTTTTTGGTGATATTCCAGCTTTTTTTGAATACGTTCTTCTAGTGCCCTCTGCCATTCGGCATGAGCTGCCTCTAAGATACTAAATGTTTCCTTTCCACGTATAAAGTTTAAACAAATCACGGGCCATGCATCCAATGTTTGTACTGCTTTTGAATTGTCTTCATCCATACCAGGTGGATTAATTTCGCCCTTTGCTTTTATATTGCGTAAATTACGATCGTAATTAACACGCTTAAATCTATTAGCGTTATCATCATTGACGCTCTTCTTTCGGGCCATACGCAAATATCGCTTAATCGTATCACTTACTGATTGTGAAACATCTTCATTATCTATTGAACTCTTGCGACGACGATGGTGTTGGGGGCCTGTCGCTGCTGTAGAACTGGCGCCTTTCTCCGTCTCATCATCGGTGGTACCAAGGGTGTAACTTAACGAAGCTTTCAATGAAGCCTCTTCCCGTTTGAGATCCTTATATTCTTCTGCTAAGCGTTTAATTTCTTGCAATGGGACAAAGTTAGTTTGAGTTCCACAAGAATTAAAATATTTCACAGCCTGAGGGTGTTTCACATGGCTTAAAGGTACGTTATATGTGCTATTTTTGTTTAAGGGTGGTAGATTGAGTGTATTTGGCGGCTTACGTTGGCGAGGTGCTGGCGTGGGAGGCATAGGATTGGCACTGGCGTCTTTTGGGATAATTTTCAGTTGTTTTTTTGGTACTGCTCCAGTTGTTGTTGCTGATGGTACCGTTGTTTTTATAGCGGTATTCCTCAACTGGATGGTGGCTTCTTGACTGTAGGGTCCTAAATACAAATCCTGATCTTTGGTACTACCTCCAAACTTAACAACACTATTAACACCAGCACTAAAATTCTGTAAACTAGACATTGATGAAAAATGCCGTATATTTGGTCGTATACCCTTTAATGACGGTGTGGAATGTGTACTCAAAATACGATGCAACTGTTGTTTTTTAAGAGAATTATATATTTGTTTAAGTAAAACCTTATCCTGAAGAATAGCTGGAGTAATATCCTTTGGTGGTATTGTGAATTCATTTACTCTCGCACTACGAGAAATTCTTCGTAATCGTTCGAGCAGTTGATCGATTTCATTTAGTTGCTGTAAATCTTTAGGAAGTTGTTGTGCAAAAAAATTAAGGCCACGTGAAGTCATATTGCCGCTGTTAGTCGCTGACTTCCGGATACTATCAGGACGGCGAGCACTTGGCGAAGCTGTTTGATCTGGCCGCACTGTTTTCGAGCTGAGTAGTGCCGTAGTTTTGCACACTTCGTCAAGCTTTAAAAAAGACTGCAAAAGACCAATAACTTGATCAGCATTGTGTGCTTCTTCCTGCTCTATTGCTTCTATCGTAGTTGGTCCCTTTTGCCCGGTATGCTGCAATAAATGTTTCAAACGTTGTTTTGAATTACGCACAGCTCCTGGATAAGAAGATTTCCGACGCCACAATATAAAACGGGGTTCGTTGGCGCAAATCTGTTGAAAATTTGCTTCAATCTTGAATATATCTTCTTTACAGTTTTGCGCTCCTTCCGGTATAAGCTTACGTCCAGCATCAGTCATATATTTCCAAGTTTTACGTGTGAGTAGCCAACGGTCCCGTTTTTTCTCTTTCTCTTTGATTGACGGACGTCGGCGTGTTGGTTGTGGTGATGCTGCGGTCACTGTAAATGAAGGTAATTTCAAACTAATATCTTTTGAAGATGATTGCCAAACTGTAAAAGCCACTTGTGATGCCGTCGGCGCTGTCGGGTCAATCATAGCTGGTGCATCACTCAACTCCTGATATAACTCATTTAGTGCATCATCTAGCGGACCAGAGCGTTTTTTCACAATTTGAATCGGACGACGCAATGCAGTATCACTTGCTTGCGATGTCGCTATATCCTTTTTGATATCCATGTTTTCTGTTGTGCAGTTGACACCATCGTCAATAAATGCACGATTCTTCCAACTCAAAACTTGTTAAGTTCGATAACAATATTAAATGTTGCCTCCCTGAGAAAGAAAAGCATAGAATTAAACAATCATTATTTGACGGGGAGAAATTTTTACCAACTGATATTTTTTCACATAAATCTTCATTTTAATGAAATAGCAGAGACTTACAAAAGCCCACTGTGGCACTAATATTTTGATCGTTTACCTAATCTAAAAATTTGTTGAAGCTAAAACTTTGTTAACGTTTTCCACTAATATTAATTGACTGTTTGCGGATAAGCCAAAAATCGTGCTTTTCCTTGCACTGACTTTTGTAAACTGTAAAATTTTCGACTGCAGCTCGTTCTTAAATAATTTTAGTATTTAGCATTATTGCGACTATATGACGGCATAAAGTAACAGTATTAACGGCCTAAAAGCTGAAATAATAAATAATATTTACTTGAGGTATTAAATTTTGTGAATATTTTTAAAAAAGCAGTTTTAGAAAATTTGGTAGTAGCAATGATTTCCTTTGCCGGATTGTGTTTGTTTTTATTGTACGTACTTACACAAGCATGCAATTCGTAAGGCTCACCTTTATGATGTAATTTTAAAAATATATTTATGAGGAAATTTCTTTGTTAAGTAATTCACGCTTCAGCCCCTACTTAATGCAGCATAAACGTCAGCACTTTGAAATGGTCATAAAAATTTGCACCACTACGGTATAAGCGATTTTCTCGCATTAGACCGCGACTAAACAATCGAACGCAAAATTTATTAGTCAATATTACTCCTACATATGTAAAATTTGGATTTCAGTCATTCGTGGATTATCAAAATAACTTAGTTCCGTCTATTTGCCGAATCACTGGCGTTAAAGAGGAAAATTAATGTTATTTCCCTTGGTTCTCCTAGTTTCAAAAATACATGAAAATACGTATGCACTTCCAATATAAGAAGACCACGCCACTAATAAGTATTTAAAATGCAAAATTTTAAAATATTTTATCATGAAACAATTCTATTCTGCAAAATAAAGCAATAATTTAAAAGAGATCGGCATCGGCAGAGATAAAAGTACATTTAAATGTTTTTGTGCTTCGAGAGCGGGAAAATGCTTACTAGAATTTCTCACGAAAATTATTTGTATCCCAAGTCCCATTATAAAGGGTGTTTTTTAGAGGTATAGAACTTTAAATTGCTATAAAACAACGATGGATCATTCGATTGACATGAATTTTATTTATCCGAAAGATAATCTTGTGGCATTACATTTTAAATACGATTTCTGGCATACGAAAGCCATGGCTGGCTCGGATGTAGTCCAATCTGGACGTCCAATTTTCGATGACTTTTTCCAACATTTGTGGCTGTATATCGGCAATAACACGGCGAATGTTGTCTTCCAAATAGTTAAGCGCTTGTGGCTTATGCGCAAGACCAATGACTTTACAGAACCCCACAGAAAGTAGTATAGCGGTGTTAAATCACAAGATCTTGGAAGCCAATTCACAGGTCCAAAACGTGAAATTAGGCGGTCACCAAACGTGTCTTTCAATAAATCGATTGTGGCATGAGTTGTGTGATATGTTGCGCCGTCATGTTGGAATCATAGCTCCTGGACATCGATATACCGATCACCATTGACTGTAACGTTCTAGCCATCATCGTTTTTGAAGAAGTACGGACCAATTTCCACCAGCCCATAAAGCGCACCAAACAGTCAGTTTTTCTGGATGTAACGGTGTTTCGACATACACTTGAGGATTAGCTTCACTCCAAATGCGGCGTAGCCATTCAACCAGAAGTGCGATTCATCGTATCATTCATAAAATGAACCATTATTTTCGAAATAAAATTGCACTATTTGCAAGCGTTGTTCAGGCGTGAGTCTATTCATGATGAATTGCCAAGCCAAATTGAGAATAAATCACTTGACAGCTGTTAAATCGGTCGCCATCTTGAACAGTAATGCCAACTTAAAGTTGTATACCTCGAAAAAAACACCCGATTGAACCTAATACTGTTACCGCTCTACGAAACAAAAATTTGTTACCCTGGATTTGTTAGCAAATTTTGATGTTTTTAGATGTTCCGATTACTAATTTTTTCATAAAAGTAGTTAATTTAGTTCGTATATTTTCATCAATTATCGGATTGTTGGTGAAATAATTAATTTTTTCCAGTCATAATTAGGATTCTGCGGACTTTTTCGTGTATACAAACATCACGTGGTGCCCACACTCGGGCAACCAATATTTACTAAAAATTTGTGAAAAATGTGCGGAAGGTTTTAAGATTTTACCAAAAATTAAACGTGGCGATATCTAGACATACAGTCTACAAGTATCCTGTTTTACTCAATTAGAAACAATGATGTCGCCTAATACCTAGGTACCAGTAACAGGTGAAACATCTACACCAAAGTTATTTTCTCAAAATGAACTTAGTGATTTAGCACGTGATCAAGTTAGGAATGATAAAACAATTTGTCAAAGCCTTGGGCGTGGAAGGATATTGTTTTAATTACATTGGTAGAAAATATCCGAAGCTTAGTATGGAAAAGTTGAAAAGAGAAATATATTAAATACAGCAATTAATAAAGGATAGAAATTTTATAAAAGTTATGACTGCTCTGGAAAGTGGATCGTGGAAAAGTTTTGTATTGATAGTCGAAAATTTCTTAGGTAACCATATAATACTAAATCATGAAGAAATTGTGCAAAATACAAGTATGCTGACAAATTTTCAGACTCTAGGAGCAAATATGAGTATCAAGTTAAAATATTTCCAAATCTTCTCGATACATTTTCGGATAATTTAGGAAATTATAGTAAGAAAAAGGAGAATGGTTCCATCAGGATCTTAAAGTGAGGGAAGAAAGGTGCGAGGTTGATGGGTTCGGGGATATAACATATGTTTTCGACATTTACCGCTCTATTTACTTCGATGTATCCTTACACAAAGCTGACATTATTCATCTAATTTTTTTCATATTTTCTTATTTTTGTAATGTAAAGCGAAAAAGAGATTTCAAAATAAACGAGAGCAAATCTTACAAAGAGCAAATCTTCCTGAACTGTGGGCTCAAATTTATCCAAGAATAATCTTATATCTACGGCAACAAAACTACCATAGATCAATGTTATATATCTAAAATTCATACACATAATTTTTGTTGTTTCGAAGTCGGGCTCCTGGCAGTTCCGCAGAACTCTGTGCTTATATCGTATTCAAATCAGAAATGCTACTTATTTTTTAAAGAAATCAATATTTAAAACAAATTTTTCTGGAAACCTCCTATTAATACTTAAATTTTTGTATATTTGATATTAACTGTATTTGTCTTTATTAATTTTGACTTTTAATTTTCTCATTCAACAGAAGCTTTCATTGAAAACAATGGGAAGTTATAAATCAATTTATTGGCGATTAATTACTTATTGGGTAATAACATACATTAATTGCTCTATTGTATGGGAAAATTAAAAAACAGTTAGGGATAAAATTGCGAAAATTCTCTTTAATACATGAATTACATTTAACAGAAATCGTTCTTGTAATTTGTTCTTCATTTGACAGGCTGTAAATATTACACGAAATTATATTTGACGAAATTATAAATGAATTACAATAAAATTTGGTATTTTATTAAATTATATTATAGGTCATAGACTCACTTTTTATTACTATATTTTACTTCTCGTCAGATAAAATTGTATCAATTTCATCTTTCAATGAGATATATGTGATATAAACACAACTGAGAAAGCTAAATTTAATAGTTATAACGAGTTGATGTGAAAACGTCAATTAGAGGATCGCAATTCATTATTTTAGGGGTATAAGGTTTGGACCAAATTCTAGACCAATTTCACTTATATTCCCACACAATTTTTAAAAAAAACCTGTTCATTTAATTTTATTAAAGTGTCACACATTTTATCAGGTGGAAAGTCAAAAATTATCATATAGGCTATATTGGCTGTGTGAGTTAATTTTAACATTGCTGAGGCATACTCATATTTTTAAGCAATTTTATAAATATTTAACGACATATTCGGCATAAGGTTTGCTAGAATAACAAAAATCAATATTTGTAGTTTTTCGAAGTTAGGGTAATACGTAGACTAAATTAATATATTTTCGGCATCAAACTATAGTATATCCATATACACATTGTCTGATGGCATAAGGCTAACCGGGAGTTTTAAAATCTTATATTCAGTTCTAATATACTATATATATTAGGGTTGTATTGATCCAATTTTATCTATTTCTGGCAATACAACATACTATTAACAAAATAATATGCTCCCTGAGTTTCATTAAGGCACCTCATATACCACCACCAACATAGGTATATGGAGTAAAATCAACCAGATGTTTGAAAATTCTATGATTAGTTATATGGAGGCTAGGGCAAGTTTTCACCTGACTTTATCTTTTTCAAGCACATAGATACACAATTATTAAAAAAATATGGTCTCCCATTTTTATTGAGATAACTTCGATATTGGCTTATATATGCGCTATAAAGTCATTCGGAAGTTTGAAAATCTTTATGTTAGGTATATGGGGACTAGGGGAAATATTGACTTGATTTTAAAAAAATTTTGAGATTCAGACATACTATTAATAGCAAAGGATTCTCTCCGAATTTCAATTACATATATGGTCAAGTAAAAAGTTCATTTTTTATTGATTTTTCAAAAGATGATAACTTTGTGTACATTTGTTTGCAGTTCGAAGGCTGCATCCCTGTTGGCAAAAAACTCGGAGAGCCAATTTTCACAGGCATTTCTTGAGGCCAACTTCTCACCATTAAGCGTGTTCGCCATGGACAAGAAAGAAAGTGATTACCCTTGGTACCAGGTCCGGACTATAAGGTGGATGCATTAGGATCTCCCATCCGAGCTCCTGGAGCTTCTGGCACGTCACCAAAGACGTGTGTGGTCTGGCGTTGTCCTGATGGAACACAATTCGACCTCTGTTGATCAAAGATGGCCTCTTCTGGATGAGTGCTGCCTTCAAGCGGTCCAGTTGTTGGCAGTAGAGGGCCGAATTGAGCGTTTGGCCATAGGGGAGCAGCTCGAAGTAGATGATTCCTTACCAATCCCACCAAACACACAACAAAACCTTCCTGGCCGTCACGACAGTTTGCGCTCGATGTTGTCGTAAGTGACCCATTTTTCATCGCCAGTCACAATCCGCTTCAGAAACGGGTCGATTTTGTTGCGATTCAGCAGCGATTCGCAGATAGAAATTTGGTCCATCATGTTTTTTTGCGTTAGTTCGTGTAGCACCCAAATATCGAGCTTCTTTTTGAATCCAAGGTTATGCAAATGGTTCCAATCGGTTCCAAACGGTTTTCTGGCTTATCTTTAGTTCCTCAGCAATTAAATAAGTGCTCACGTGGCGGTCTGCTTCCACTATTTCCATGATTTTATTTTCGACGACAGGCCTTCCGACGCGTGGTGCATCTTTGACATCGAAATTACCGGAACGGAACCTAGTAAACCACTTTTGTGCTACTCGTTTGTGTACAGCATCGGGCCCATAAACTGAATTAATTTATTCTGCCGCTTTTGCTGCTTTTTCACCTTGATCGAAGAAAAATTGTAAAATATAGCGAATTTTCTCTTTGCTGGTGTTCATCTTTGACGAGCGCTCACAACGTACTGAGTCAATCAATCAAAAAACTGAACCGCATGTTCCCATCCTTAATGTAATTCGTTGTGCCAAATTTGAGACTGTTTCTTAATTTACGGCTTAGTTATGCCACTTAATATGTTTTCGATTAATGGCGTTTTGTGGGCGTTCGCCCATCTACGAACTTGTCCTTATTTTTTGCCACGGAACATGTATACCAAGTTTCCTCAAGATATCTTAATTTTTACTCACGTTACAGCTTGCGCAGACAGACGGACGGATGGCTTGACAGACAGTCACCCGGATTTCAACTCGTCTCTTCATCCTGATCATTTATGTATATAACCCTGTACTTAATTCGATTAGTTTTAGGTGATACAAACAACCGTTAAGTGAACAAAACTATTATACTCTGTAGCAACATGTTGCAAAAGTATAATAAAAAGATTGTAAATTGTTTTTTGGACTGCTTCTCCAGTCGACATAATAAATTTTTATACTCTAAAATAATTTAGGTAAATATAAAGGATAACCAGGAAAACTACACAAATGGATTCCCAAATGTGTGATAGTCCGTCCGCCATTTGTGTTCGCGAAACTTGATACTAGTCTCCTTTGGAACTGTGAGGACGTTGGTTATATATTGGTATTGCCACGCCCCCAAAATTTCGTCAATTGAAAAAAGAATATTGCTACAAGTATATCAAGGTTAGAAATTTAGGGAATAGCATTATTCAAATGTTAGAATTGTGAAAAACTAATCACTGTCCTTTTCAATTCGCTATAGTGTACACGCGTTTCTTTGAGTCTACTGTAATATGTAAACAACATTTATTTTTATTACTATTATAATATTTTACTTAGCTGCAGTGAAAATTATATATATTAAAATCATCCTTATATGAGATACATATCAAATAAACTATACAGAAGAGGATAAATTCAATATTTTGAGTTGATGTGGAAAACGCTAACCATAAGATCGGAATTGATTATATTAAGGATATTATTGGATCAAGCTCTAAACCAATTCCATTCATATTCAGCGTTAAATCACATAATTTTTAGAAAACTTGTCCACTGAAATTCATTAATATATCACACATTTTGACCAACATAAACGGTCTAATGTCATGTGGAAAGTCCGGAATCACTATATAAGGTGTGGTCGTACGAGGTGTGTTCAAAAATAACGGTGATTTTGGTTTTTAAAAAAAAAAATGTATGATCAGTCGTCTACCTTACGTTGTCGCCTTCAAAATAGTCCAGTATTGGGATAGCGTTTAGCTCTTTCAGCGCTTTTCATGTATCTAATGAAACGGTGGCCCTTAAGGTTCGCTTTATTTTTTCAGGATTATAAAAATTTCTTCTTCAGTTTTTAATATATCCGAATTTAATTTAATATATATTTAACAATGACAGTGTAAATAAAGAAAATTGGAAACCAATCGTCTGTGCAAAAAACCCTGTGTTGCTTCAAAATATCTAAATTTTTACTCAAGTTACAGTTTGCATAGACAGGCGGACGGACTGACAGACAGGCAGTCACCCGGATTTCAACTCGTTTCGTCATCCTGATCATTTATATACACATAACCCTATATCTATCTCGATCAGTTTTAGGTGTTACAAACAACCGTAAGGTGAACAAAACTATTATACTCTATAGCAACATGTTGCAAGAAAACATATATACATACTTATATACATAGCTATAGCATCATACATTATCTATATACATATGTATGTATATATGTACATACCATATGTTGGTTTTCAAAATTGATAATTTATGGCTTACTTACCTTTTTATATCAATTTGTTGGTAATATTATTGTTATAATTTTTACTGTAGCTGTACATTATGTTATATCTTTCAGCCATTTGATACTCGATTATTGACCAGAGATCAAATATGTAAGTTATTTGTGTATTATCAGTACTGTTTGAGAAATTATCGTCATATCAGCACTACTGTGCCGACACAGACATATTGTATATTACTTATATATGTTTTCAATACATACCCATATGTATTGTACATACACAAAGTACATGTATGTTGATATATAAGTTGTCGTCAAAGGAACAAAATCTATTGAACGCGGCATTTAATTTCGCGAGGGTTACTCGTATATTCGCTGTCACCCAGTTTTGAACTTTAAATTTATCATATTCAAAGGTAAAACGAATATTTTAGCCTGATATCTACGTAAACGCGAGATATGAGCTAAAATACATTACTGTCTCAATCTGCGAACATCAGTTTTTTTATATTTGCCCAGTACCTTATGTACTTATGAAGTCGTTTGATTTTATATACATATTTTTTTACATAGAGTTTTTAACAAATGCGTGTAAATAAATAGTTTTGTTTAAATAAGATTTCACTTAATTTATAATAACCACTTCGTTAGCTAGATGTATTATAGTTGCCGTAAAGCATAAGAATATTTAATTAATTTAGAGCAAAGTACATAAAACATATTATTTTGAGCAAGCCTAGTCACAATATCCACTAAAACCTACGCTGGCATAGTTAAAGATATTAAATATTGTTTTTAAATTATGCCGTTTTGTTGAAAATTTTTCCTTTGGCTCAATTAACATCTTTTCACTGCAAATAATATAAAATGAAACCTATAAACTTTAATATATATAGAGAAAGAACTTATTTCGTGTACTTAGTATCATATCTGCTTTGACTGTTTTAAGTGTCTTATACCGCCCGTAACAACAGTAATTCCTAAGCACCGTTTCATATATTTATATGGCTATAAGTTCACGTATACTGCAAACATTTCAGAATTAGAAATTAATAATTATATGTCCGTGTTGAACATGTACGCAAATACTAATGCTAAATAAAAATCATAAAAAATACAAAATAATCCGAAGCAAACACAAGTAAAAAGTACCAGAGAAAAAGCAAAAAACACAAACTCATCCACCACAGCAAAATACAAAATTAAATAAGCATGAAAATATATATAGGAGCACATTGGAGGGGAGAATTTCATTACTTCAGCCATCGTCGGTTCAGTATTACAAGAAAAATATGTGAATGTTTTCAAATCTCACCTTTAGCATTCAAAAACAACTATCTGTGCAGAGTATCTATCTGTATAAAATATTTATGAACATTGGCGTCCGCATACTAGCACAATTGAACGCACGCCCGGTGAACTATATTAGAAGCCTGCCAACACCATCACAAATATTTTATCTAAGAATACAACTATCATCACAGCCACAAAGAGCACAGCATAGCAAAATATCATTGTTAGAAATGAATTAATTAGTGCAAATATAGTACTGGTTAGTCAGGGCTAAAAACAAAATTTATTTAAACCTTTGAATTAACTCGCACATAATTGAAGTTATGAATATGGTATATACTTTACATACATTATGTACAAATAAGTGTGGTGTTTGTGATTCAATCTCCGATCTGTTTTAAAAGCTCACTTTTGTAAATGTAATATGTATTTCAGTTCTGCTGGAAGTATCGGCATCGTTTGTCTATTTGAACTGTTAGTTTAAACGGATCCCTCAAAAATATAATGTAAAAGGTGTAAAGTATTGGTATCGGTTGTCTATTTAAATTGTTAGTTTGTACGGATCCCTAAAAGGAATAATGTAAATGTGTGCGAAAATGCCAAAGTACAGTCGAAGTCTAACATCCAGAAGACCACGTAAATGTCTGACGAGATCTTAAAAAATAATTATTCACGCAAAAACAATTCTCGCGTCTACAAAGATTGAATATATGGAATTGAATTATGACTGCCGCAAAGAAAAACGCAATTATCACACGTCGCTATATAGAATGAAACTCTATAAACATGAAAGTGAGGTTTGCACCAAACATGGGTGATATAACTTAAAAAATAAAATTGCATGTTTTTGTTTTGAAATAATGCTGTTTTGTCGTTGAGGCAATAAATCCTATTACATCTACATACAATAAAAACAATAATATACGTAATCCTACTTGGTCATTTCGTATGTATGTTACGAGGTGTGTTCAAAAAACCGCTGGTTTTGAGAGTCCAACTGACACAACTTTTCATTATAGATGTGTTTTAATGAGCTTGGCGATTTTCGTTTGTTAAAAGAAATGGGTCGAAGTTCGAGATTTCTTAGCCAAAAACAATACTGTAACGATGCCCCAGCCTTTTTTCCTATTTCCAAAAATAAAGAGAGCCGTCGTTCTACAAGCATAGATGACGTTAAAAGCGCGTCTCTTTAAGAGCTCGTACACTTAAGCTCTAATCCCGAGTCATCGTCGAGACTGCTATAAAACAAATGGCATAGAAATACGCCGCTAAGGTAAGTACGTAGGTTGCCTTGCATATTTCGAAATTTGGCAACCCTAGTGTTGCAATATGGCAACTCACAACTTTATTGTAAAATTTGACATTTCTGATTGGTGTTTCTAAATCCAAAATATCCGCAGGTAGTTCCTCCTATCGTGTAAATCGAAGCTGATGTTCATTGAGTTCAATATTTTTTTTAGCTTAATGCAACGTGATGCGCCTGGCTGAGTAGCATTTGCAAATATGGATGATTGCTCTAAGGCACTACCAAAGTTTATTGTTTTCGATGTCATAATGTCCATCGCCAGGCTTGAAATCGGTCTCGGAGTCTAAATTAACATTGTTCTCCGGCTTAAAATTGGGATCGGCAATGCCATCATCGTCTCCTTCAAACCCGTCCTCACTGTCCTTAAAATTCATCAATTCCTCAAAGATGTGCTCATTTGTGAAGCTGCGGATTCCATTCTTTTAAAGTAAAGCAGAAACCAAGCATAAGCAGTTTTAATTACCCTTGTAACTCAATGTTACAGGAATGACACAAACATTAATTTTGTATCTGTATCATAATATGGACACTTTTTTTTCTTAGTCAATGCAAAATATACACAAAAATCAACTTAACTGTACCTCAAACAAACAGTTTTTTTTAACTGAATGGTTATTTTTGATGAAATTCGTAAAGAATGCATAACTTTACCAAACTTGAAATTGAAATAACGTTTTAGGCAGAATGTCACGTGTTAAAAAAATAAATAACCTGCTATTGTATAAAACGCTTCGTACTAGTGATATCACATCAAGTAAAAATTAACAAACTTCTTTTTTCACCGTATTGCGTGCTCGGAAGGGATTTGTAACATACATATACATGCTATATAGAGATAATATTAAACATTTTAAGTTTGACTCTTAATTAAAACAAGTCAGGAAGGGCTAATTTCGGATGTAACCGAACATTTTATACTCTCGCATAGTCAAATGGTATACTCGCAATTTTTAAATCGTTCATGTGTTTTTTTGTATACGCTTATAATTGATTTTATATAAAATGAATTACAACTGTATTGAGGACTATGAAAAGAAAGGAAATCGTTTTTTGACAATGAATAACATTTTTTATTTATTTTATCGATATTATTATACATGTTTAGCTAAAAAATATTAAATATTAATAACTTTAAAAATTATATTATTAGATTAATTTGTATATAATATTTACAATATTAAACATAAATTTTTGTAGAGATTCTTATACATATATCCAAATTATATTTCTTTTCTCCTTATACTATTTAATTTCTATCATATATTTATACAATAATGTCTTATTAAATAAAAAATTATACATACAAATACAATTTTCTTAATTAGATTATTTAAATATTTTTCTTAAAATTGTCTTAAAAACTATTGTCAAAATTGCTATATCATTCTTTAGAAGTAGAGACACAAATACTGTCATGATAGCTGTGTACTGTCTTAAAAGTAATTGCATTAACACGGGAAGGATCTATGTTTGAAAATTAGCACATTTTGATTGCATAACTCAAAAGTAAGGACTTTCTGAAGCTTTACAATTAAGTGTCTGACAGAGAAAGCTGAATTTCTGTACAGAACTAAAATATAATTATTGAAACATTCAAACAAGACCGCTTCTAAAACTTTGCGGCCTGAATAAATTCTCTTTACAGCCTTTAGTTCTATAGAGCTAGCAATACTATCATTTGCATATATTACAAGTATAAAGCCTCGTTTATTTCTGTTGCTTGTTTCCGTGCTATCTATCCTCAGCTCGGTAATTGGAGTAAATCCTGGTATATCAAAATTATCGCAAGGATAACTCCAAGTTTCTACAAAACATAAAATATCTGAAGATAGCATCAAATAGTCCCTTTTTATATCATTAATGTGAGCATGAAGACTCTGAACAGTATGGAATAATATTTCATGTCTTGATGTTCGGGAAATCATAAAATTGAAACTTGTTGTCAGAGCTTTATTTGTGTTCAATTCCCTCAGTTCCCTAAATACGGGATCCGATTTGTTAGGAGGAATAAAATTTCCTATGATAAATAGACCTTCTGCAGTTGAAGATCGACTGCAAGCGACATATATTGAAGCTCTAGGCATTCTGGGTCGAGTATGTACTACAAATTTATTATATGTGGTACCCTGACTTTTATGAATAGTTATTCCCTCAGTCGAAACAACTAAAAACTAATTTATTTCAATTGAAAGTTGTTCATTTATTTAACATTGAAAAGATTTTAGAAATTTTTCAATTGGTGTCCAAAAACTTTCTAGAGGATGTGGCCTTTTTGATCGTGCTATCAAACCAACAGAAGGTTTAAAAAATTTAATCCACAGAATTGTTGGCTGCCCCATTAACCAAGCCATCACACGTGTTTATGTTCACTGTAATCATATATTTAGCGGAGGTTTTTAGTGTCAATTCATAGGGCAGTCCCTGCATTTCAGAAGTTTTGAAAAGTTTAACTCTGACCAAAATATTCTCATTTTCAATTATACCAATTCCTTTAACTGAGTATTTTGCAGTGGAAAGGATAGCTTCAGTTGGGATTCGACTGAGCTTAAGAGCATTGAAATTATTTGTCTCTTGATGGGACCAAAATAAATGTATGGCATCGTCGGGAACTTCCTCGAAATTAACTACTCGAGTTTCAATGTGATATGTCCTCATTTGTCATAGAACCAGATGCCATATGGCTTAATGGACTTGCAAAGGCCTGATCCTCCTGTTGTCTTGTTATCTTTGTTATTTCCAAATATTTAAATAACTTCTACAAAGGGGAACTAACTAAAGTGCTGTATGTATCATTGGAATTAGGAGAAAATATCCACCTATCTCCAGCAGGTGAGAGTTGCTTCAAATCACCAAACACTATGATCGGTATACCACCGAAGAGGCTGTCTGTTTTGAAAATTTGTTTTAATCTCGCATCAACAGAGCCAAACATACGAGCACCTACCATCGATATTTCATCAATTATGATTAATTTTAAATCGTAAGTCTGGAATACAATGAATTAACTGTGTAATTGCTAAGTGGCCTCAACTCTCTATTCAATTGATTAACAGCTAAAGAGAATATTGAGTTAAGGGTCATTCCACCTATTCCGAATGCTGCTTTAGAAGAATTGTAACGATGATTAAGAGCTTGATATATTGCAGATATCAAACGACTCTTTCCTACACCTGCACCGCCGCCAATGAACTCAAAAATTGGCGATTTGTTTTTAGGTGGTGCACCAAATGTGTGAAATAGGTTCTTTGCTTAGTATTTAGACTTTGAACTAAAGAAAATAATTCCTCTATTGGAATTAAAGGGGGTAGCTTAATAAGTCTAATATTGCAATCAGATTCAGTGAGATTATCTGTTGAATCTTTTCCATGCAAGTCCAGCAAATTTATATTTGGGTTTATTTCTGGAAGTGTCAACACTCTGAACTCATTTTCCACGACAGGTAGTTTATTTTGAACACCTTCCTCTAAGTCTATTTCATTATAAAGACTTTCAAGAACATTTTCAAGTTCTCTTTGCTCAGAAACATCATAAAGTCTGCTCATTATCGTTTTCAATGAGATATTGCTGTTCATTCCGAAATGAATATTAAAGCATTACCATTTCGCGGAAATAATCAACTCTGGCCAAATCTGGGTTAAACCTTCTATATCGAATAATACAAGGTTTGGTACGTTTCTTAACAAAAAGGCTACCGTCTTTAAGAGGCATGACAATCCCGTTTTCTGGTTAATTATCGTCTTCCCTCTCTTCTTCTTCATGATCACTGTCTTGTGCTCTTCTACTAAATTTTAAATATTTATACATAGATGCAAAATCAGCTAAACAAAGAGTTTTTAACTGATCGGATCTTTGAACATAACGATCTAAAATACGGGCTACGAATATTTCAGTCGAACCTGACGGAAGGCTCTGAAGTTCCGCTCTAGGTTTCACCATTCGAACACGTTCCACAGGTCGAGAGGTATTTATAAATATTTTTGCATTTCTTGCTTCCGAAAGATGGAGCCTAATGCAGCAACATACTGCTTCTTTTGCAGATATTTCTGTGCCTGATATGAATTTGTGACCTATATGTTTAAGTTTTTGCTTAACAGTTAATTTACAGCATTTACTTCTGATATAGCTTCATTTAAGTTAGACTTGTTAATATAATTAATTATATATAACGATTATATGCGTTAATAAAACGATCCTGTAATTTTCCTTTTAGAATAATATTGGTTTTTGATAAACTTGATCTAAGGGCTAACAAATAGTCATCAAGAGACATATTTATTCTACTATCAGGCATTCTACTATCAGACAGGAAACCTCTTAAATTATAAATGTCTTCTGTACTTGTAGTCATATTTGAATTTAAAACGTTTTGAATTTTGAAAAATTTTTCTTGTGTCTTTCTGAATTTTGACTTGTTTCTGTAAGAGGTAACATTATTTGCTTTGAAGGCATTGGTGGATGTGGTATACAAAAACGACAAAACTGTTGTCCTCTTTTTTCCCTAGTACAAGACCGACTGTGGTTATGCTTTTGATAACCCAAATAATTTTCTAAGTGGCTGACCGAACCATCTGAAGAAATATAATTGTCAATAAGGGTAATGACATCAGGGAATGTCTGTCAGGGAATGCGGGGAACCTCTCTCCAGTAGAAATTTGTGACAAAATGCTTGTCAAAAATGCCGGTATTATCTTTAAAAAGCTTAAGAATTTGTCGATAGCGGTAGTCAAAATATCTAGCACAAGTAACCGCGTCTGACCGAATTAAGCGATATCTATCTTGGGTTGTTAAGCTGTTGGCTTCCTCTTCCGAAATATCTTTAGAATCAACAGTTTTAGAGAGGATGACCAAAAGCTCAACCCACTGAGATTCTGCAGGCGATAAAGTGATAAAGAAGGTTGGAAGCCCAAATTGGCGAATCATAGCGATTGCCTTTTTCTTCTCAGGATCCCAGTGCGCAGGAGAGGATCTAACGCCTTTCAAAACCTTGTAATCATCATCGTGTTTAATCAAGTTTTGAACAAAGTTTTCGCTTAATGACAACTCTTCTGAATTATTATCTTGATTTATGTCAATTGGTTTTTGTCCTTCACCTGGACCTTGGTATACATAGATGTCACAATATTGTTAACAGAAATTGGTATAATAACAACAGCACCTTTGAGAGAACTCTGACCTTGATATCCTAATGGACGGATTGTCATAAAAGGAAATCTAGGCATTATGAGACGTTCATCAATTGGGGTTAAATCTTTCACACAATCCGGTATTTCAGGAGAGTCTAGACCGTTAGCATAACATATTATTTTTAACAATCGCATTTTTGCAAGTAGCACAAAAATTGTAATTTCCATCTTCCGAAGGAAATTTTTGCATTAAAAAGAAGGCGGATGCAGCGTTCGGGTAACCTTGCGCAATAGTTTCGAAATTTCATTTGCGAACTTGGTGTGAAAACCAGAATCCGCCGCAGCAAATACATATTTCAGTGGGGTTGTTATTTATATTTTGGAAATAAATGGTTTTGAAATCTGTTAAATTGCAACTATAATCAGTTTCTATAACATTATTTTCTCTCGTTAATCGGATTCGT